TTTGATCAGCTGCAGATGAAATAACCAGCTAACTGATTTCACATAAAGGGCTGCCACTCACGCTGACGAAACTCCCTGACACAGGAGTATGCTCTGTAGCAGTCTATCAGTATCCATTTCTTATTCCAATGCACTGACAGGTCACTCAGGGAGACTAAAAATTCTGTTCTGGAGTGGAACAGAAAGTGCAATTTCAATTTTGTTTTGCTTTGAAATTTTCCAGCTACCTATCAAGACCAAATCCTTGAACTATTTACTTAGAATAACTGAAATACCCCTATCTGAAATAGTGGATATGCAAGATTTAGCCATTAAAGAGTTGGGGTAAAATTAAAATCCCTTTCAATAATGACTAAAGTCAGAGAAAATCTTTCAAGAAAATTAAACACTTGATCAAAAAGAGAGAGGGTTATTGTTGAGAGCATAAAGATTAAACAGGAGAGTTGTCTCAGAGAATAACCATCAATGATAAGTAGCAGGCAGTTAATAATATCCCCTCAGGGATCTTCTTTTACTTATGTAGGTTTTTGGACAAATACAATATTACATTTTTTTATAGTTGAAGCATGAGAGAGCTTTGTGCCATTCCAGAGTAGCAATATAACTTCAATGGAACAAGGATGACTGGAAAGGTGGGGAAGGGGGTGACCCAGGATCTGAAGCAGCGGGGAAACGGTGATCTCTCCAAACCTTCAAACCCCAGCTCTGAGACCTGCTCTCAGTCTCCCTTCTGTACCCCTGTTTCATATCGCAGCACTGTATCAGTGCTGAGATCTGGTATTGCCTCTTGTTACATAGCAGCTGAAAATGAGTGAGAGACCAAGCAGACTAAGGGTGTGACTCTGCGTTGTGATTAAGAGCTGGTTAAGAGCTCGAACATGCAAACTGTTGAATTGGCAGAATTGGAGGGATGGTAATCTGCAGCCAGGGGACTGGCACATTGCATATACAGGATGGGGGCCAGAGGCTTTGAAGAACATCTCAAGCCAGCTCTGCAGCTGGAGAAACTGTAACATGAAATAGCTGCCTTGATCTCTCATTCTTCTTCTCTTACTCTCTCCTCCTATGTAATTACAATTATAAATCTTTTTGTTCCTTAATCATCTTGTGGCCATTGCAAACATTTTAGAATTAATGCGGTTCTCACACTTGAAGCACATGTTCTGCATGTCCCCTTGTGTCTCTCCATTTATTCATTTATCATGTACACACAAAATTCCTGTAAAATATTAATCTGAAATACAAATCTCTTTACATCATAGGAGCATTTGCACATAGTAATGTTAGCGAGATTATTAATTCTGCATACACAGTCTGTGGACTGCACACAGGGCCACATCTCTCTCAGCAACTGTGCTGAAATCAGTGAAAATTTCAGAAACATTATTTTAATATTACAGTGAGTGGAAGGTGACAATTTCCTAGAATTGGATCATTTCTTTAAAACTCAAACAAGAATTTGAATCTTAGTTTTCAGTTTTTCCTTCTAAGTACTCCTTTGTAAAAGAACTTATATACTGCTCTGTATTTCTATCCAATGGTTCCTAATAGATTAGTACAGTCTGGAAACAAAGGGATTTTTTTTTTTTACAGTGCTTTAATCCATAAAGAATCTGAACATTTCTTTTGCCATTCCTCCTTTTTGGGAACACCAGGAGTAGCTACGCTTCTGCAAGGCTGGTTGGGGCAGGTTGCCCTGGAAAGAGTGGAATGTGCAGGTGTAGATGGACCAAAAATAATTCTGTGAGGCTGGAGACAGCGTCATTTTCTCAGGGGTAACAAAGAGTGAAAACTGAGCTGACGCTTGGCGTGCTGAAATCGCTGGGAGGATTCTCCTGGGGGCGGGGGGGGGCGGGGGGGAGGTTAGATCCCGCAGCTCTCTCCTGGCTGTCCCTGCCTTCTGCCAGGCGAGCCCTGGGGAGGCTCTGGGCCTAGGCTCCACTTCAAAGGAAGGGAGGGAGGAAAGGAGGGAAAGAAGGAAGGAGGGGGACAATTTTTTCTAAGCCCAATGGTCTGAATTGGCATGCTTGGATCCTTCACCTGCCATAGGAATTTTAGACAAAAAGTCGCACCAACATTGAAAGGTGTGTTCTTCAGACTGCAACTGAATCCTGCCGGACACAAAACAATCAGGACTGGGAAGGGGTTGCTTTTCTGCAGTGAACGCAGAGTCACTGGAGGTCTCCTAAAGGTGTCTACTCGGAGGGGCCCTGCAGCTGGAGCAGGAGCTCTCCTGCTGGGGACAGGCAGAGGTGAGAGGCTGGTGCCAGAGGAGCAGGGCCCAGCTGCTGGGCACCGCTGCCCTGGGGGATTTGGGTCTCTTGGCAGGGAGCATGTAACGGGGCCCTGCTTGCTGCTGCAGGGTCTCATGATGCATTGTCTGTGCTGCAGTAAAAACAAACCTTTCTGGTTTCAAGAAGCAAAGTATTTTCAGTTTGACTTTATTTCTGCGCTGATATTCAAATTTTGGTGTCTGTAGTTTATGAAGAGTCAGTGCTTTACTATCTACAGGAACAACGCTGTTGATCCCTCCATCCTCAACTGCTAACTATAAAACATCCATTTGGCTTTAAGCTTTAAAAATATCAATGAAGCGAGTGAGACAACATCGACAGCTGGAGTTAAGCACTTTCACGTGCTTTCTGAATCAGGGACCAAGTTGTTAGAAAGATCTTTCAGGACTGACTGGAGATCCATAAGAAATTGTCTTGAATTAACCAAGCCCTCACATTTCTCTTAATCATTACCTCTGTATCATCTTTTTTCTTTCACTTCCTTCTTATTCATGCTTAAACGAGAAACATCTGTTTCTATTTTTCACATTGTTCTGTTATGTGAGTAACGATATCAAACATCTTTTTTCTGCACTGTGAAAGAATAAATTAGTGTTAAGTTCTGTGAAGTGCTTTTAAAACACTAAAGCAAAACATCTGTTTCAGCTGCAGGTCATTAAGATGAAAAATCCTAGTCTGTGTGCAGTGCAAAACTGCCAAAAAATTGTCAGCCCAAGCACATTTTCTCACCTGTCTTTTACTACAACAATTGAAGATGGCAAAAGGATGGTAAATCTTGTCTTCAGGTATGGAGCAGTTAAAAGTGCTCACTGCTTTAATCAACAGCTATAGCTCATGGTGACAAATCCTGGTCTGATGTAGCGGTGCCCAGAGGTTGCCCCAGTGTTCATCTTGTAGACTTCAAGATGAGAGTCTCCTTGAGAGCCCTTTCAGCCAGGTGTGTTGTGCAAGACTGCCTAATGCTCTGTATATGTTGGTGTCACTGAACTTCCGCTGAAAAGGCCCCCCCCACCCCCCTTAAGATCTGGAGGTTGTTTCCAGGGCAGGTGGCTAGAGTAAAGCTCAAACGTGTTAGAGTTTAAGAATTGTTTGGACTGTGCACTTAGTCACATGGTCAGAATTTTTGGGTTGACCGGTGTGGTGCCAGGAGTTGGACTCGATGATCCTTGTGGGTCCCTTTCAACTTGGGATATTCTATGATTCTATGATTCAATTGGCAAATCTACTGTGTTGGTGAACTGAGATGCTCTTTATGTGCCAAAGCCCAAATGTAGATGTCTGTGTGCCTTTGTTGATAATAATCTCCTTTGTAAAGCACTTTGAGGTCTAGAGATGAAACTGGCAACAACTACCTTAGAGCTTGGATATTAATAAATAGAATAATGAATATTAGAAACAATGAGGGCATTCACCGAATTCTGTAGGAAGAGCCTGGTCTTTTGGGCAGGTCCTTGGCAGGTAGGTGGTAGCTTACTCCCATAAGAGTCTGGGTCCACCCTTGTTTCTCTCTGTCTTTAATTAAAAGCTCCAGATCCATTGCAAGTGTAAAGGAGATGTTCAGCATCTGTCAGGAATGGCCTCCAAAGCTGCATGGGGCTTTTCCAGCATTTTAAGAGGAAATACTTGTTTGTTCTTCCGATCTGCTAAGGTGGCAGCCTGTGCAGCCCTAAGCAATCCTATTGCACTGTGCTCATACATTCCCTGGAGCAAATGAATGTGATGGTTTGGGGTCTCTAGTAGCCCTGTGCATTTTTTTGTAAAAGTGTACTGGCTCCCATTTCATTTAAACCCCGAGTTTTTGAGACAGGAGCCTGTATATACATTGCTGCACTGGATCTGTTCACCTGCAGCTTTCCCCACCCCCAGCACGAGCATGATTTCCTTTTATGCACTGCTCTGTCACAGCTTGGCAACTTTCCCAAGACAGTCCATACCAGAAAGCAGAATATGGCTGCTGAGCAGCGTAGACGGAATAAATGCCTTATGTAACAAATTCATTTAAACCCTATGAAATGTTGAGACGTGAGACATAACTGAAAGCAAAATGCAGCCCTTAATCTCTAGCATAAATTCTTCTGTTTGCCCTCTCCATCATCAGCATCTAATAGCCACTGACTGTTTCCACTCACGTATCCATCTTTTTCAAGAAGCTGCCTGCAGCAGAATTAACAAACAGCTTGGCAAGCAGTTTTAGGGGCAGGATTTTTATTTATTTATTTATCTTCTCCTAATTCTTCGTGATCCTCATGAGCACTTCCCTACTAATGTGCCTGTGGCATCATTAGGTGTTTAATGAGAGTGACGTTGCCTTAATATTATTACTTTTATAGCTCATTTTGTTTTGACAACTCTTTGGTTTTGTGGCCATTTGTAATGTGCAGACTTCTTCTTCCTACTCCTGACATCAGAATTTGTAGAAATATTTACCATGGAGGTATTACCATAAAACCTTAAATAATGAATTGTCAACCCAAGTAATGAGTTGCCCCCCCTACCTCTCAGGTATGGTCTGGACTACCTCCATTCATTATTTTTAAGTGCAATATATGTTCAACACCACAGTAGTTTAATGACATCTGTTAATTATTTTAGCATATTTCTTTTGTTTAACTGAAACACCAGGAGTAGTCCAATAATGACTACATCTCACATAGCAGTTAAGTGCAATTCTGCAGATGAACAATCCTTTTTGTTTTCTTTTCACAGCTCCGAAAGACCAGCACAGACTCCACAGGTTGTGGATCAGTCTTCTTTCTCTTCTTCCTCACATCTAGGAGCTCAATCATTTTATGTTGTGCTTGGACTGAACACAAGGCTGCTAAAATTGTAAGTCTTGGCTAGATGTATGTAATGTTATTTTACCCCCTGAATTTTGTCTGTGTATTGGCTGTGCTGCATCCATTTCTTTACTCATTAAATTAAATGGATGTAATTTTGTGTACAAGCAAGAGCATAATTCTTACTTAGGAAAATGCCATGTTCATCTACCATGTCACATGGATGATCAGTGCTGAGCAGTGCATTTATTCAACAGCTGTCTCTATGCAAGGAAAATAGTGATATTTTTAAGAGACTAACTAATGCCCATTAAGTTCTCACTTCTATATTATCTTCCAAGTTATTTTATCTGGTTTAGGATGCTAGCACATATTGTCTTACCGCCACAGCAACAGAATAGATCTAATCCATTCTTCTCTGGTTATGAGCATTTAAAACAACTGGTCTGCTGTTGTGAATTTAGCTTGCTTGCATCAGATAAGATGAGGGGAGTTACTGGGGCAAATGGCAGCGAAAGCAGTCTTGCTGCTTCCTTGCATAGCATGTCTCCTGCACAACAGTGAAGGGGAGCAAGATGCGTGTCTTTGCAGTCCTGCTACTGCTTCCGCCAGGCTGCAGCATCACTGCACAAACACCTGACCTGGGGCTGCCCCTGGCCGGTTGGGTGCTGGAGGCCCTAGAGGTTCCTGCCTCTGTTCCCTGTGCAGTCGCAGCTGGTGGTGCTGCACAGCCCCAGGAGTAGGCAATGCTAACAAAACTGTCATTGTATACATAGCTACTGTTTCAAATGTTCTTATCCTGGCTTCCAACATCTCTATTTTTACGTCCTTGTTTATATTTAATAGCAGTTACAGTGGATAACTGGCTTTATTTTGGAAACGTTGACATTTCTCTTGCCAGTACTGAAGCCGTGAAGTTCTGAAACAAAGACATGCCTTTTTACTCTCTTTCTTCTGATAGGTTTTGTCATTTGGCAACTGTTGTTCTGTAGACTTCGCAGAATTTGAACAGGATTCTGATCTCCTACAAAGTGACACACACGCTTATTAGAATTCAGGAGCAGGTTTGGGGCCTTTTCTCTGATGCACCATGCTGGGTACCATGCATGAGAAATTAGAGCCTGTCTGTTATTATGTGACCAAACAGCTGCAGGAACTTCTAGGGTTTTTAAATAGTAGTAGAATGATAATCAAAATAATATTCCTGTAAAACAAAGTGAAAAGAGGTCCAGGCTCTTCTTCTGCAAGTCTCCCAGGCCCAAAAGAGACGGATTAAATCTGGACAAAATGAGCCCCTGTACACATGTAGTTCCATTGAAGTAAAATAAATAAATAAATGAATTGAATTCTTTCTACAAGCTCTTTCATGATAGTTCCTACTTATATAGTTTCTTCTTAGCCCATTGTAAAAAAAAAATTAAAAAAATAATTGTAATTTCTAAATTAATATGGGATTTGAGATTTTTTTCACTCACTTCATCAAAGGCATGCTTTTGAAAATTGTATGACCTTTGGAAGAAAGGCTCACATGGTTAGGATGTGAGTTAATCACTCACAAGACATTTCCAAATAAGCAGTGGGAACTCCTCAAGCTGTTTAATTTTCCTGTTCCTACTGGGAAATGGAATTTTTTCATTCAGCTGCCCTGCAAGTGAAGTGTCCTCGTCCGACTTGGAGCAGAAGAACTGGCAGGCACAGGGAGGCCAGCTAGCCAGCTACGACCTTCTGCCCAGTAGAAGTGCTCCTGTGCTGCCATTAAGGCTTTATTGCCTGTCCATTGTATGCCTTCTGGGGCTCCCTGGGAGTGCCCCAGCTAGGATGTTGGGGGGACATTCTTCAGAAACCTTCTCTGTTGCCTCCCTATCTCCCAGGTATGGTCTGGACTACCGCCACTCCTCAGTGCTTCTCCCTGGAGCACCCTCATATGTGTTCAACAGAGCCATATGGCCTGGCACCTGTACTGCAGCTCTGCACCTGCAAGCATGCCCTACCTGCTCAGACCTGCTTAGCACCATCTGCCCATGCAGCCCTCTCGTCTGCAGTGACATGTCCTCTGCACCTCCCCCACCCAGCCTTCTCCACCTGGCCCTGGGCTACCACCTGCAAGCACTTTGGCCACCTCATAGACAGTCTTCCCCCACACTTAGGAAGCCACAGCTACAAGATGAGCTTTTCTTGCTTCTATTAACCTAGAAGAGGAGCAACAACCTTCTTTCCCAGAAGGAAGCGTGACCCCCTTCTCTGCATTGTCTGCAAAAAGGAGGGCACTACAGAGTCTGTTTCTGAAGCGTAGGTAAGGCCTGAGTGGGTTTTCCAAGAATTTACTGAGAGGCCACAGAGGTGCTGGCTATCCCAGGGAAGGTGAAGCATAGGTAGGAATATGGTCTTCAGGCTCTGCTTAGTCTCTCCTCAGTTACAGACTCAACAAGCTCATGTGGCATGTCCTCAAATATGTCAGATGCTGCCTGCATGCAAAGACTGGACTAACAGGCAAACCAAGTACTCCTAGTGATTGTTTGAGCAGGAGCCCTGCTCTCCCAGCCAGCAAGCTGGGCTTGGTTCACCATTTCCCTATCCAGAACCACCTCTTCTCATGCCCTTCCCCACACCTGTGACTGCCCTCAGCATCAGTGCTGGGCTGAGGAGAAATACTAGAAAATACTCGGTGTTCCTGCAGCTCCTCACTTTGAAGTGACCTCCGTGCTGTCCCAGAAGGTACTGGCGATGTGTGTATAGGGCCAAATGTGATTTCAGCGAGGACAGCCTGTGGCAGTGCAGGCATGCTCTTGGTGTGTGAGGGAGCAGCACCTGAGGCATTCTTGGTGCTTTTGCTAACTGTGGGGGTTATTTTACACAGCATGATATCTCGATGCTGACTAGCTTTGTGTTGGTGTAGGGGCCTTACTTCTCTCCCTGCCTTTGTAGGGCCTCCTACTCTCTTGCCCAGCATTCCCCAGGCCTCAGGAATGGCAGCTCTTCACAATGGGTTGCTGCAGCGAGACCAGAAGGATGGTGATCTGTGAGTTTGTTTTTTTTTTTTTTATATAAAGGTAGGGAATGTGTAGGTTGTGGGTTGTATGTGGTGGAAATCTGCTAATGTCATGTGAGTACTCAAGTGGCCTTACATGGAATTCTGTTAGCAGTTGTGGGGCAGATGTGCCTCATTTGCTGTGCCATGCAGATGTGACAAAGAGCTAGAGCCCTCTCATGGTATGTAGGGGCAGCCCCTGTGTTGCTGCCTTGATTCCCATCTCCTCTGTATTCAAGGACTTTTTAACTGGCTGTTCTGCCCGAGTTGTACTTACAATGACCCTTTTCAGCAGGAGGAACATAAAAGTTCCTGAGCTTTCAACAAGAAAAAAAAAAAAGATTTTTTTTTCTTTCTTTCAATGAAAGAAAATTCCAATTTTCCTAGGTGCCTGGGCTTAGAAATGGTGGCTCCATGTATTGGAGGTTCACCGCCATTTCCAGCCCTTCCCTCTTGCTAGCATTTGGGATCAGCCTCCTGAACTTCTGTGGAGAACCACTGTCATCTGTTGGTGGGCCCTAAGCAACAAAAGCACTGTCCTCTCAGATGGTGTTCACAGCCCGCTGGAGAGCTGCTTGATCAGTGCAAACTTTGTTAGGCATTACTAGTTTTCCTCAGCCTACCAGATGAAACTTCTAAAAGGACAGGCAGTCAGCATTCCCCAAAACCCTTGCTGGCCGCAACTGCCCTTTGCGCTGTCCTGCTGCAGATTGGGAGTGCTGTGTGCTGTAGGCTACTGCTTGCCTTCCTCAGGCTTGAGAGCTGAATTCAGTTAGCTCCTGCTAGCCAGTATCTAAGACTAAAATGAGCTCTCAGTATGATCTCAATCTCTTTATAAGGGATAAGATAAACTGTAATGTGAATGATGAAAGTGATCATATACAATTCATGCTTAGTGAGTACCCATTGTCTTAAAATAATCCTAATAAACACTGTTTTCCCCAGCATGTGCCACTGTGAAAAGCTGTGCTTCCTAATGTACTATCAGAAATGTGATGACACCAACCTCTTTTAGAATGTGTAATTGGTAGAATGTGATAAAGACGTGGTTATCGCTTACTCATAAATGGGATACTTTTAAAATACTCTCACTCTTACACTGATTGGCTTAAAGGACCTGCTGATTAAGATGTCTACATGAAATTTTAAATTGCTGTTAATCTCATTGGCTCTTGTAATGATTCAAAATTAGAATCTCTTGAGTAGAGCAAGTAAAAACAATTCTGTTTTAAAGCAGAATATGAACATTGCTACTCAAAGCTGAAGGTATATTTGAATGATCATTCACATATAATTTCTTATGGAGGAATTTTAACATACTTTCAGAGATTTTAATTTTAATATGATTTCAGAGATTCCTGACAACATTCAGACATAGCTTCTTTTGCTGCAATTCCCCAAATGGAACTACTCTACTGACTATTCTGCTGTTACAGGTAGCACATTTTCACTCTATGAATTGTCTGCATGCTCTAGCTAAAAATACACTTCCAAAGCCTTACCTGAGCTCATTTCCGCACACTGACCTTTGAACACATCATTGGAATCCAAAGCCAAGTAATGTGAAACTGGGACAAATTTTAAAAGTGAGCATGACTGTTCCTCTAAGTTTCTTCATTCTTTTGTTTGAGAAACCTCTACTCAGGTTGCATTCCAAGATACCAAAATAATTATTTTACAGTTATTTTAAATATGTAGATTTCTATTACTAGGAAATTAGTATTGGAATTTTATTTCTTTGAGCCGTTCTGAAAGTTCATTAAAGTCTTTGCAGCTATTTCACTGAGCTTATAATTAGAAGTTTTATGTTCCTATGAGCTTCATACTAAAAGCAGCAATATTATACTATAAGATCTGCCTGCAAATCCCATACCTAAGATAATATTTCTCGAAAGGGATAATAGCAAGTGAACTGATGAACAAATAATTCATCTGAGACATACATGCAGGATATGATCTGGAAATACTGGATGAACAAGAGAGAAGCAAAAATTTTAATACAGCTTTGATCATTGCACTGAAGATACTTTCTGGCAGATGAGGGGTAAAGGATGTAGCCGAGCTGAGAAACTAGGAGATGTTTCTCCTTTCTTCGTATAGCGAGGGACTGGCAGGGAGATCGGAAAGAAAAAAGTTCCTGAGTAACAAATCTCTCATAGTAATAACCCTAGGTTTTAACTCGCCCTTTTCTTTTTTGACATTAATTTTATTCTACAAGAGGAGACTTATATTCCAGTGGTCAAAATGAGATATGAGATATACAAACCTACCATGCTATATACTGATACTGTGCAACCACAACACCTGATAAATAATTTTTCAAAATTGGATGTTAACTCTAAGCCTGTCAGAAACTATCACAGTTTCATATCTTTTTCCCTCCTTTTCAAGATTCAATTGCAAAGATGTCTGTTTTCATGCCCTGAAGATATACACTTACCTATACAGTACACTATAGTCTAAAAAAGCTTTTGTAGTTTTTTTAAGCTTTATCTCTGATGTTAGAAAACTCAGCTATATTCATAATTAATTGTCTTGATCAAAACCAAACTCCTTACAATTAAGAAACAAACAGAAGGTATGGCATATCAAACAGACTTTCTGCTGCTGTGATCTTATCTAAAGACAAAATAAGCTCATTGGTACTTTTACATTAATAGTAATAAAGTGCTTTTTTGTTTCTTTACTTCTCCTTTAAGTAATGTTATTATGTCTTCCCATGCATAAACCTCTGGAGCTCTACAAACGGATGATAACAAAGATTGACGTGAATGTTTGTGTCAAGCATAAGGACAAGAGGGTGTATGTCCATCTGACTTAATGCAAGAATTCACAATTACTATGCAGGAGCTGCAGGGCAGAACAATAGGAAGCTGTGGGGAAAAGAAGGCGGTTTGAAATCTTGCCTAGTATGTAGTGACACCCTGGCAATACCAACCACAACTGAGAGATCCTGTTCTTTTTTCATTTTTCAACACAGAGCACTTCCTTCTAAAGGCTACATTTTCTGTTAAAAATGTCTTTACTTGGACCATTGTCCTTACTTCTGTATGGCCAGGTGACCTTGAAGTACAGAAATGGTGGGGGTTGGCTGCAAAACCTTTTATCCCCTTGTAGGGGTGTTGAAATAGTGATCAGCTGAGGGAAGTGGCTTTCCCTGTGTGGTGCAACCTGGGTCCTTCACTGGAATATGTAGAAGTCACAAATACAAATTTGGAGATGAAGCATGGCTAAAAGGGTCATTGTTACTAACTCCCCACATTAAAATTGCTCAGGACTCCAGTATGTGTCCTAGTCATAGGTGTGCCCCTAATGCCAGTCCCAGAGGTGGGGCGTGACACAACCGGAAGACCAGAACATGGCACCCTACGGGCCCAGTGCAATTTCATTTTCATAGGCAATTCTTTGTTGGCATAGGGTGGTCATGTCGAAGATCAGGTTGGTAGTGGTAGGAGTTGGACTCTAATGCCCCTTCCTCTGCAGGGGTATGTTAAGGTTACTGGTGTGACAATTGAGAGAGAGATCTTGAAATTACTCTGTCTTCTCTGTGGGCTATTTCAGGAGTATAATGTGAACTGAATCATCAGACTGGGTTAAGCAAAACTATGATTATTTATACCTATTATATCTCGGTCCTTTCCATCATCTGCTGAAGGCCAGTTTACTGCTGCAGCTTTCTTCCTCTCTCACTAAATTATAATTCAGTCAGCAGACTCAGGAAGAAATTTGTTAGTTTTGTTGCTCATAGCATATTTTCTTATATTAATACTTCCTGCATGATGCAAATGGCAACCCTCCAAGGCAATACATTGTTGTTTTCAAGAAGGTGAGTGCTATAATATATGGTGGTATTTTCCTGCTCTAATCTGCCTTCTTGTGATCTTTGAATTGTATGAGACTTGAGCTCAGTAACTCAGACATGAGAAAAGAGGTGTCAGCTCCTCCTGAAGGGAACAAAGACGTAGGATTAACTATCTCCTTTTTAATGTGTGATGGATTAGAATAATGCAAGATTAAAGTAAATAAGCATAAAAACCATGGTTAATTTGGTCTATTGATAATTAATCTAGGATTTGCTAATTAATAATGTTTATTACAGTGGTACCTGAGGAACAGGGAAGAATGGAGCCTTGTGTGCCAGGCAGACAGTGTTGTCCCAGCAGCTGCTCCTCTCTGATCAGTGAGAGATGACAATAACACTTCTTACTGGCAAGACTGAAAAGAGGAGGCAACTGTGGGAGGCTGGATACGTAGCTGGTGTCCTTGTGACAGAAACTGTTCTGTAATTGCTGGAGTAGTCTTAGCCAACAGGAGCAGGTCTGAGCAACAGATACTGTATTTTCCAGCTACTGCCCATGGACAGAAACCTAGAAAAATGAAAACAAAGTGGCAGTTGTCTGTATTAATTTAACTTGGAAATATTTTCCTAGGTGAGAGATTTAAAACAGTATGATGGTTCTAAAGGTAATTCATAGTGGCAAGTAAAACTACTTCCCCAGAAAGCGTTTCCAAATATCCTTCTGTTGCAGAGTATTGTACTTCAGGACTAACCTTATCTTGGAATTACTGTTCGGTGAGTCAAAGGCTGTAGTGACATATAACTTCACCTATACATTCTTACTGCCCTCTTACTGTTTTACAGGTAATTTTAAAAGTTTAATTGATACTGACAAAAAAAAAAAATAAAATATCTTGATTAATAGCAGAGAATAAATTTATATTCTGAATAAAATAGATTTGTTTCTGTCTGAAAAAGACTAGACAGTCCTCTTTGACAACTGTATTTCAAAGAGCCTGTGTAACAAGCAAGCCAACGGAACATGAATCAACAGCTCAAACAAAAAAAAAAGTTGTCATTTTTCCCCTTTCAGTTTTTACAGTGTTGAGGTAAACCAAACTGCTGTAATTAATTCTGCTTTTAGTTCTTCAAAATTTCAGTAGAAATATGCTAATTAATCTGTAAAAATGACCAGTATATTGAGTTCCTAAAT